TCAATTACAATAAAATATGCAACAAAGTTACTCAAAAACTAAAATATTAAAAAATAAATTAAAAATTGAAAACAATATATACATTTAAGATATTTATAGATATAAATAATTGTCATATTATACATATTATAGCATAAAAACAAAAATACCGTATGTTTTATAAAACTTTATATATCAAATGATGTRTCATATATTGTATTTTTAGACATTAAATTAAGGTTACTATGAAATCGATAGAAAAAAAAGTAATACAAAAACCCTGATTAGACATTTAGGGCTTTTATGTCTGAGTGATGCCATACACTTCAAATCGTATCATTTATTTGCTTGTTTTGCGGCCACTTATAAATTGATAGTTATCTTTGAAAATAATATATTAAGTTAAAATGACAAAATCAATTTGCAATATCTGTACAATTTAACTGTAAATACACCTAATATACTATACATTAAATTTTATTAATAGTGACAATCTTTATGATCATCTTTGGCTATAAATATAACAATCATTCTCTAGTTTTGTATTTTTGTTATCTCATTGTTTTTAATGTATAGTATATTTATTTTCTTTATATATTTATACAATTCATTAACAATGGTTAAGAAAATTTTTATCAAAAAAATATTTTCTTGTTGCAAAAATGTTTATATTGAAATATAATTATTAATTTTTATATTATAAAAATAAGTACAATATTAAGTACTTATTAGCAATATTTTATTATAGAAAATTTGTAATAATATATTATTAGATTAAAAAAATAAGTAATATAGTATTTAATATAGTCATAATTTGTATAAAAACAATAAAAATTGTATTTTATGATAAAACATATATTTTTAGATAAACTTATTACTGTGTAGGTATACTATACATATAATATTATACTATAATACATTACTATACAAATGAGATACCTATATATATAAAATAATTATAATTATTTAATTAATATATAAACATTATAAATTAAAATTTATATATAAGAATTTAAGTGTAATTTTAATAATAATTTATATATATATATATATACTGTAATGTTCAATCTAAATAAATATTTACTGTACAATATTAATTTTAATATATAAATTACATAAAAATTGTATTAAATATTTAGAACACTCAATAGAAACTCAATTTATTTAAATAGGAAATATTATTTATGATGAATACTGTATATTCATAAACACAATTTATTTAGATATACTAAGTTAAATTAATATCACTAAAATAAAACATTTAACATTTTTTTTTAATTGTTTATTTATGATAAATCTATAATCACATTTTGATAATGAATAAATTAACATTTGAATTTGTAATATTAAATTATATTTTATAAACTATTATATTATTTTGTATTTGTTAGAAAAAAGTAGTCAATAATAGCTAACACTAAAAAATAAAATAAACAGATTTATTGATTAGCGAATGTTGAATAAGTTTTTAATACTAGTTGTAAATTAGTTTAGTTATAGTTTAATAGAGGCTTAAATAAATTGTGGATTTGATAAAAAATATATTAAATGCAATTGAATTGAATTGAAAGGTCAGACAACTTGTTAGTTATTTTTATTGTGATTATAGTGTGTCGGCATTTTTCATGAGTGCCATTCAACTCTATATACAGAATATGGTATTGATTTAAATCTCTAAACATTTGGCACTATTTTTACCGATAAAATAATATTATAGCGAACGTAGTATATAAAGTATATATATATATATATATATATATATACAGAATATTGATATATACATGATGTAAGTGTATCATCATATGATGCCTAGTAATGCATTACTGTTAAGTCCAATAATGTAATGAAACATATGATATAATATCTGCAGATCTCAATCGATGTCATTGATTATTATTAAGAAGTAACACAATATTCAGTCATATGTTTGTTTTATCGTTTATTGTTATCTTTAATATTGTCATTAGTGTTGTCAATCATTAGTTTTAAGGAAAATCCCATTTTTCAAGAAAATTTCCAATAAAATTTTTTTACAAATTTTGTCTTATTAATTTTAATAACAAAAACTAAATATTGTATGGTATATAAGATTTTATTTACAAAATATAAACATTTTACTACTAACTCTTTATTAACTAATTATTTAGTATTTATAGCTACAACACATAAAAATTAATTTTAAACAATTACTTATTAAATAACTTAATGCATAATAAAGTTTTTTTTTGGTATATTAAAAAGATTTTTATTTATACAAACATTTATATCAATAATAAATCTGTTAAATGACTTTAGAAATTGTTTAGTTAGGATTAATAATTTCTATAATATATAGTAAATTTCCAAATATACTAAATTATAGAAAATTTCTATTTTTCCCACACATTAGTAATCATATATAGTTTTTTTATTATATTTGTTTAACATTGTCCGAGTTTAACGAACTACACAAATAAGTTCAAGATCATTTATTTAACTAACCAATTATGCGACAAAATTTTTAGCGTAAAAAATAAACATTTTTTACAATAATAATAAATGAAAATTGTATATATTATATTATTATTTTTATACGTATTATAACTAAATTTATATTTAGTTTGTTATTATCTATAAGATTATGTTTCAAAAAGAAAAAAAAACTGAATTCAAATAAAATCCTTTCATAGATCTATGTTATCATATTTTAGCAAAAAAATCGATTGATTTGTTGTAAATTGAAACTTATGGCATACGGTAATGACATTTCATATTATTGTTATTTTAATGCCCACATATACTGTAAGTATATCAAAACAGTTGTATTGTAAACATAATACAATCATTTAATAATAAATCAAAAATATTGAGAGAATAACACTATTTTGTTATTAAAATACTTGTATTTGACAAAACATTTATATTAAATTACAAAAGTAATTAGTCTATTTTTATTTACTTATCATAAGTCTCATTGTAAATAACTTAAAATAAAACTAAAAAATGATAAACTAAATTAACTAATTATATATTATTATATTATTAAACATATGTTCAGTGTATAAAGAAAATACATAAATTCAAAGTTAACTTAATTATAAAGTTTAAACTTAATGCATTAAAAAATAAAACAGTGTTTAGAAAGCGTAAAAATTGTATTAATGAATATTTTTCAGATAATTATTTAAAGAATTATTTTTAAAGTTTTTATTATATTTGTTTTTTTGTTGTCTTTGTTTATATTTATTTGTTATATTTGTTATATTTAATAGATATATAGGTAGATATGATTTAAATAATAAAAAAATAAACTAATTTTTTAGGATATCTGTTAGGATAGGAAGTCAAGAGACGGTTCAAAATTTATAATACAAGAAATGAAATAATTTTTAAATTTATTAATTTAATTTACATTTCATAGATATTAGTAATGAAATAAATTCTAATTGATTTGTAAAAAGGTGTTGAATTTTTAATGCATTTTTATTTGTAACGTTTTATAAATAATTTATACTGTATTATTATAATTTTAAAAATATTTTACTTATTTAAATGTGCTAAAACAATTTAAAAAATAATGCATTATCTTAAAAATCAATTAAATTTTTTATTACAACATGATTAAATTTATATTAAACAATTTTATGATATATAATAAATAAATGATTTTATAAATTCTGTATATAGATATATAATTAAGTTTAATATTAACACAATATAATTTAATATTCATTATAAATATTATGAGCAATAATATACAAAAAATACTTATCCAATTAAGTAAATAATCAATTACAATATTTATTTTATTAACATTTAGGTTGTTAAAAATATAATTACATTACTATAATAAATACTCAATTCAATTAAACATAAATATATCAATATTGTGTCATCCAGATAGGACGTTCATATAAGTTTAGAAGGAGTTAATTTAAAAAATTTTAAGTTTACAAATAAATGTCAATCTTAATATTTATACATTTTTGAATACAATAGGAATAATGAATGGCAACTATAGCTATATTATCTTGAAATTACTCTACTATTCTACAATTAATTTTCATATACAGCATATATTGAATATATCTATACCAGGGTTAAGCAATGAGGTAAAGCCAAAATACCTCCTAAGTTTTTGTAATTTGACCCCGAGACTTTTTGAACAAATTAAAATTATCGCTTAAAACAATAAGAAATAACCACACCTTAAAATTAAAATATATTTTATTAAGTGTTATTATGTTTTTATAACTTATATAAATGTAATTATTGAGTAAAATAGTAAAAAAGTAAAATAGTTAAAATTAATCTAAATATAACATTATTTTAATTAAAATATTTAACTAAATTTTTTTTGAAAAAATTAATTAATAAAAATGCAATAAAATCTAAACCACACCCTATACCCCAACATATACCCCAAGATTTTTCGACATTTTTGTCATTTAACACACCCTATACCCAACTAAAATCCAAAAATTTGCTTAACCCTGATCTATACATATATAATTTAATTACCATTTATCACAATTTTTATTAGTTCTGAAAAAATTATACTAAAATTAAAATATAATTATCATTTATATTTTAATATATTATCTTATTGTTTCATACTTGAATTGAAACAATATAGTACATCTAGATTATATTAAATAAATTAAATTTTAAATAACAATAAGTATAAGTATAAGTTAAAACATAAATAAAGTGAAACTGTAAAACATAGATAAAACATATTAATTAAAAATTGTAACAAATTTTTATCTTATGTAAAATTATTAAAAAATGTTTAAAAATACGATTATGTAAAATCATCGTTTTGTAAAATTTGTTATAAACTTTAATTTATAATATTGATTATATAGATTATTAATATATGTTTTATTTGATCAAAATCAATAATAATGTATAGTTTTCATGTTAATTAAATAAAATAGATTGATGTGTGCAAGGACATTTACGCCATGATTCCGCAATCAATCAAAATGTTTTATAAGATAAATAATGACAACTAATAAATAGTTATATATTTATTTGCTCTAAATTTCCGTTTCGATGTGTTGTTCAATACAGTTGTCTTTATAGTGTTGATTGAATTTATTGATTCGATATATTCTGGTGTTATTACCTGAGCTAAGTGTCTGTCCCTGTGTTTCAGTATATACGCCCTCATCGATAGATCGACAAACTTTTAACTTAAGGTAACACCGACTCAATAGTGCTCTCAAATTCATCTGTTGATTAATAAAAGCAATGGATAGGGAAAATGATTTCAAATAAAAACAAATAAAAACAAATAATAATTAAACATTAATACATATATTTATTTAATAAACAATTTATACTATAATCGTTATAAGTATAATAAGAAAATTACAAATAAAACAAATAACAAAAAATGATATTTACTCTGAAGTTTTCACTCATAAAGCAATAACAGATTGGATTAACAGTCGAGTGAGCCATTGATATGAAATGACACGAAAAATATGAGATTACGTACAATACATAACCAAATCGTGTCTTCACTTTCAAAAATTTTGGATAAAACCAAACCAATAGACTAAACACATGTATGGGAAGCCAACAAATGGCAAACAACAACACAATTGTCATCAACATCTTTATTACCTAAAATTCATATGTTTATCAAAATCTTAATCAAAATTATTTTTATTTATGTTGTAAAACAATAAAATAATAAAAATAATATTATATTTATTACTTTATAAATAAGGTATTATTATTATTATTATTATCCTATATATTTTTTTACTATTTATCAAAGTAATTAAAATTAATTGTTAATCATTCTCTAATTGCTTAAATATAAATTTATATATAACTTTAGTTTGCATCCAAAAGTTGACACATAAACCTACAGCTAATATAATCAGTACTACAAAAACAACTAATTATTTTTACTAAATGAGCTAATTTTGTAAATGCAAACATTAAACAAATAAAACTAAGAGAATAGCAATAAATTGAAATAAATAATATATTAGAAGAAACTTTTATAAATTGAATTTTTCAGAAATTAATTTCTCTTTAATATTCTCTATTTGTTTATAGTATGTATGCAATTAAATAAAATAATTTATTTAATTAAAGTCAATATTAAATATTTAATAATGTTTATTTCTAACTGCAAAAAATACAACAAAGATAAAAAATGATGGTTTATCTAACCTTAATTTTTTTGTTGATTTGGTGTTCATCGCGATGACAGTCAGGATTGCCAGGTATGACATGCCTGAAGACATGGTAAGCAATTGTCGTGTAAACAAACATAAGTATAGACACCGGCAAAGCAAATGTGGCCACAAATATGATTATAGTATATAAGCGACCACTGGAGTTGTCCCAAGTTTCGTGGCAATCATAATATGTTTGGTTTCGTAATTTGAAAGGAATGGCCTCAACGGCTACGAGTTGAACACCGGCTGTACCAATACCTGCGGCCCATATACTGGCTATAACTATGAATTTATGTGATCTCAGCCAATGTAGTATACGTGCCACAGAATATAAGGGATGGACGATTGCAAAATATCTAAAAAATTTATATTAAATATAGTGATCACGTGAAATAACTACAAATATATTTGTATTATATTTATCTGATTTTTTTTATTATTATATGTTTGTGTTGTCCATATAATGATTATTATTTAATGTAATGACCGTATGTTATATGTATATATATATATATATATATATATATATATATATATATATATATATATATATATATATATATATATATATATATATATATATATATATAATGCGATTGCTTTCATTAAATAAGCTAACAATTCCGGAAAAACACTTAAAATAATAATAAAATAAATTACTATATTTACAGTATATACTTATAAATTGATAAGGTATACATAGACATAGACACACACACACACACACACACAACTGTACAGTATGTATACTATTTATATATACTGTATATATAAATACTATATATTGTGTTCATTACGAAAAAAGTTGAAACTATTTTTATAAGCAGATAAGCTATAATAAATGAATAATGTTTACTGAACTATGATTTTTCTGCAAATGTTAGAATAGTAAACAAGTTTTTAAATACAGTATTAAAGTAATTTGTAAAAACAAAGATCTGATAAATTTAACCTTACATTACATTAAGTTAATTTGATAATTATATGAACAATTAAACTCTAAAAAAGTAAATATATGTTTTACAATTAATTTAAAATAAATTATTATATTAAATAGTTTTAAAAATTGATGTACAGTTGAATTTAATTATAGTAAATGTCATATTAAAAAAAATAAATTAGAATATGTTTATTTGCTTAAAATTTTATATTTTATCTAGTGTCATAGTCTTAATTAATGTCATATATTTATTGAATTTTATTACTATTTAATATCATTATATTATAACAATACAATAAATTTAATAATAAGGTCTATTTCAACAATATTCAAAATTATTTAACAGATTTATCTAACTAAAAAGAGTATATTAATTACAGTAAATATTGTTTATATTTATTTTTATAGAATATACTAATTATTGTAATTTTTATAAATAACTTAAATAATTCATATAATTTTATTATTTATATTAAAGAAAAATAATAAATAAATAATACATTTTGTTAATAAAAATGTAATTTTAGATCTGCAAAATAAAGATACGATTTTGTCGTTAAACAGATTTATATCAATTTACAAAATTGTAAAATTAGAGAGAAAGAAGACTTGATTAATAGTTGTATGTATTTTAGGTAATGAATTAAATAATTAATTAGTTTAATATAATATATTGAGTACTGAAAGTTTTGCTGATTTAATTAAAAAAACAAACATAAAAATACAATTTGTTAAGTTCTTTAAATTAAATTTTTATAATAATACGAATTATAAAAATATTAAAACAATTACATATAATTTTATAAACAATTATTTATATATATATATATATATATATTATTGTATGGCACTAAATACGACTATTTTTTAAATTTGTGTATCAAATTTGTTTATATTTGAATTAAAATTAATATAATTATTATAAACATTGTATTCTAAATTAAACAATACATATATTGTAATACAATAGCATAAATAATTTTTATAGTTAAGAGGCCCATCAATTTGGGTTTAATAATAAAATATAATATATATATATATTAAACTTGTATGTACTGTACTCATAACATAAAAAAGTAAGTTTATGTATCTGATATCTAACCCAAACATTGACTTCCTGTATGGCTTAAAGCACTGATATGTCTTTGACTATAAGTACAACAGTACTGATGAAGTGTAAAAAGTGAGTACCGAAACATTAGACCACAAATTAAGACCAGATAATTGTTGCTATCAACTGATGTTAAAGTAAGTTAAACTAACAATTTAATTATAATGTGTGACATCAACTTTTTAAAAATCTTAATAAAATTATATATCATATACCATATAATATTTTAATTAATTTTATTATGATTTTTATAAAGATTTTAATTGAAATTTATATAACTTAAATGCTAAAATTACTAATATATAATTACAATAATAATAGAAAAACTAGTGCTAAAAATTGATCCAAAATAACTAATTTAGTTTTTCTAAACAAACTGACTATAAATAAATAAATGTTGTGCTAAAAGTGTAAACTATTGATTACAGTATTAGATAAATTAATAAAATTTAATTTTAATTATCACAATTAATTCAAATTGTAATAAATCATTTACTAATATAGTTAACAAATGTAAATATAATATATTAATGAATATTAATTTTTTAATTATAAAAACTTATATATATATATATTTATTTATAATAATAAATTTTTAATCATGCATAAATTATTTAATATTAATGTGGTATCTTTATTAAATAGATATATTATGGAAAAAGTAACATAAAATTTTAAAAACTTTAATGTATTTATTTAAATTTTGAAATTATAATACTTTAAAGCTAGGATATAAAAATCATTTAGATTTGTTCTTTTATTTTAAAAAATTTATTTAATGGGCTTAAGTACAGTACAGTATATTGAAACAAATTGATACTTTAAGTTATAAAACTTAGGAAATAAAAGTTATTAGTTTTTAAAAAAACAAAAAAAGAAAATAAGTCACTTAAAATATGATAAAACTAAACAATCAACTATTGTTTTTATTATATAAATCATAAAATATTCAATATTATGTGTGTTTTCTAGTAATATAAATAATTTTTAAAATATTTGTTTTTACTTTAATTATGATATATCTGTGTAGGCATATGTAATGAATAAACTTAATGATTGAATATTAATATTATTTATTTAATGTAATAATAGTTTTTTTTAGAAATATTTGATTGTTTTATAAATGAATTTTTTTATTGTATTAATATTAAAAGATATTATTACAAAAAATTGTTTTTATAAAATTTGTTATCAAATGACATTTATAATATTTAACAGCAATGTCAAATTTATTATTGAATAAAATAATTTTATTTATAACATTATTTTAATGTTAATATAGTAAAATGTGCTAACACTTAGAGTGTTTGGTATTTTATTTGTAATACAATTAATATTTTTATTCAAATTGAAGATTTTGTATTTCTATTATACAAAATAATTTTATTAAACATAAATTGATTTTCAAATCAGATTAAACTAAAATTTTGAACTATTTTTAAATTGTAAAATGTTATTTATTTTAGTAAACACCTTTTAGTACTAATTAAATTTCAATAAAAATATTTTAATGGTATTAAAATTTAAAGTACAAAAAATATTTGATCTTTATATAGATTATTATATTCTATTCAATTTTGATAAATATTCCGGAAATTTATGTTCAAATATATTAAAATATTTAATTGTCATAAATATAATTATCTGTTAATTATTGTTAGTATTTCTTTGGATAATAATTGAAATAATTTAGGTATTGATAATACACTTTAAAATTCTTTTATTTATAGCATTAATGAATTTAAAGTTATGTAAACAATTTAATTATGAAAAACAGTCATTAAATTGCCAGACTATCAGTAATAAAATATGTGAAATATTTAATACAATAATACTGTACAAGTCTATAGATAAAAATAATGTTACAAATTGACAATTTTATCCCAAATTCTAAAAAAATAACAAACAATTTTTAAGTACACTAAAAACATTTTTGCTAATTGAATATAAAATTAATTTAGAATTTTTTAAATTATTAAATTTTAAAGATTTGTTTCAATCAATTTCAATGTCTAAAAGAGTATAAACTAGTCTTTTATATGTTCAATAAAAGTTGATATTATTTTTGACATTTTGTGTATTACTATGTTTTCACACACTCTGTGAAACTATAAAACTAATAGACTGGCGATTCAGTGCACTGATGGGGAAATAAAAATAAAATAACAAATTTGATTGTTTGACAAAACACTAGTTTAATACACATATTTAATATTACATTTTTGGTTACACTATTGTTATCTATAAAAGTCTATATAAGTATTGATGAAAAAACAAAACTTATCATGCTCATTTGTCTAATGTACGTCTATATGTCATTCTATATTATCTCTATATTATCTCTATATTTGTTTTTATCTAAATATTTCTAAATCTTTATTTACATTGACATCTGTTTTGAACAAGACTTAAATACAATTATAATTATAGGTGTAATGAAAATTACTAAATATATATTATTTTTAATTTGTAATTTTTTATGTTATTTTTGTTAATAAAATTATAATCTCTTAATAAATATTACATTATTTAGTTTTTTCAAAAAAACATTTCAAAATGTACGATTTTATTTATTTATGTAAACATTATACTGTAATATTACTATCATTATTTAATAGTAAAGATTATTAATATACAGTATATTTAAATATTATAATAAATTTTTAAAAAAACTTATGGCATCATTGTCTCTTATTTAATTAAGTTAAAACTTGAATTAAATTTTATTAAACTTTTTAAGACATTTTATGTATGGATAGATTTGTTACCATAGCATCAGTAATTAAATTTTAAAAATTTTATTGTTTTTATGCATAATTGAGTTGTTCTTACTTTTCAATAAATTTTTATTTTCAAAAATTCATTTGAATCGTTAATTAAGTATACAAAAGATTACATAATATATTGTTGAAAATATTTATAAATTACATAAAATATATAATTCTTCCGATTTATTTGAATACTTAGAATTATTTTTTAATTTTGTCATTTATAGTTATTTAAACTTAATTAAAAATTTATAAACTAAAATTTAATTTATTAT